ACACAAAGGGAAGTGCACTTCACCCATCGCTAAGCAACAATGACGCGTTACCTCTCCACTCCAACTAGTCTGAATCCTTGGTTCAGCATTCCTTAATTCAGTTACTGACAAACATCTTTCACTCTCATCAAACGCCTCTAAATAGAGTCCTTTCAATGAGGGACCGTAGCCACTAGAGGAGTACACAAAGGGAAGTGCACTTCACCCATCGCTAAGCAACAATGACGCGTTACCTCTCCACTCCAACTAGTCTGAATCCTTGGTTCAGCATTCCTTAATTCAGTTACTGACAAACATCTTTCACTCTCATCAAACGCCTCTAAATAGAGTCCTTTCAATATGGAGCCCGCAGGAGCAGASAGTTCTAGACATTCTCTATTACTATCTTTGTCGCTCCCATTGGCAGTCATTCCGTTTGTCTCCTCGTCGGTCTTATGACAGATCTGTATTCGATGTGGAAGTCCACTAGGAAGGACTTTGATTGTAAAGTTACTCAATTCTTTKAGTGTTTCTTGGATRATTTGCTTTCGTCTGACGTACTCGACGTTGACTAGTGAGATTTTGACCTTCTTTGAACAAGGAGCTTGACCAGCTGCAACCTGGGTGTAAATRAAAGAAAATATTACAAGTGTTTGACTACTACAATCATGGTAATTGAGAAATGTTAGAATAACACTATACTAAGTTTGCTGACCCCAGACCCCTTCATAAATGCTGTGTCCAATCTTGTCAAAAGAMCTCAGAGGCTTGGGCACGAAATTGCGTTGCTTCTGGGAGATCGATTGTATRTTTGTTGGTGAATGATTTCATGTGATAGTACGGAYCACRGCGCAGTCGAGACAAAGACCAGTCAAGGAAGCTTGTCTGGTAGAAACGCTACAAGCAGCACAGATCAGTCACGGTAAGAAAGTACACTACTTTGTACATTCCCTGCTAAACCAGCTGGATACTTACAACATTGCTTTTAAGGGGAAAGAGAGTGTTACTATAGATATATTTAGTTAGACACTGCACTAAAGGTTCTGTTCGCATTCTCCACCTTATTGCAGCTACCAAGTTGATAAAGAGATATCATTACGACAAACCTTGATTCTCATTGGTCCAAATGATGCTTGCCCCTGATCAATAGCAGAAAGGTACGGACCCCCCTTGAAAGCATCACATTCTGCGTGTAATTTGGTTTTCCTGTCTGATGAAACACAAGCCTGRCCCCACTTATCAACCACTTGAATTGTGAATTCGGGAAATTCGTCGTAGTTCTGAACATCAAGTGTCTCAAAGGATGGAAGTTTGAGTGTATGTGGTGGACCTGTAAACAAACATCATTYTTATCAGAACAGACTTCGTATGACTATATGCACTAGCCTCCTACCCAGGCAAATCGTTTTCCCTCTTACGGGCTTCCTTTGTAATGGTCATACGGACTACTGATGAGATCTTCCTCATTCGTTCCCATTCTCCCTCTTATGGCTCTCAGAAAAGAACAGGAAGCCCGTTACTCTTGGTGATGCCACCTGGTATTGACGCTATCAAAAATGTTAAATTTGCAGTGAGAAAGGGCTAATCCGTTCATCTTGCCCCATCATTTTCACGCTCATTGCGGCACATAAAAATGTTATGTTTTTTTTACACCCAATCTGTGCTCTTGCCTCTTTGCCATATATAACATTATTGCATTAATAAACTGTTTTCTATCCGTATAATTGTTCAATAAAACCTGTTTTTCAAGTTCATACCTGCTYTGAGTCGTATTGGGAATTTAACGTATCCAATGTCAATCGCGTTGACCTTGATACATTGCTCACGGCCAATATGGGACTTCCCACTTCCCTTAGGCTCCATGGTAAGACCGCTGACCTCCACATCACCGTCACGGTTAGCCTTATAGCTTTGCTTTAYTCCACGAATCTCAAGGTTAGGTGACGTCACTTCTAGTTTAATGGTGTCGCCTCCGGGAAATAACGTTGTAGGGTTTGCCCACTTGTCTTGAAAATGAAGCTTGAATTTCAGCAATGCCTCGCCGAGTGATAAAGCTGGTATCTCAGATTCTGAGGGCTCATCAAGGCGAACAAATGTTCCAAGATTCGCTGAGAAAGAAAAAAAAGGTTAAGGTGGCACGCAACAGTTTTTAAGTGAATTTTTAAATATAGGTATTTCAGTTTAATATTAAACCATAGCTCAGTAATAGAGAAACAAAGCAAAAGCAAATGTCAACTATAAGAACGAAACTAAACACATGATCAAGAATATTGAGAACAAGTTTAAATACGAAGCCAGTACAGTTTAGCTGTGAACATATTTAACTCGATATTTTCCAACATTTTTAAAGAAACCAGAAAGATAGCAAAACACATGACAAGAATCCAAAAAATCTGGGAAGTTACCAACCTTTAACCTCGATGTCGATCTTTGCTGAACACATTTCTCGAGTTCCAAGCATAGCAATATACTTAAGGACATAGATGCCTGCTTTACCAAGCCAGAAGGGTTTGAATCCATATCGCTCGCCTTCGATTGGAGAATCGTTCTGTATCGGTGCAACTCTCTCAGGACCTTCCACGACCTGTTTGATGGTGAGTTTCTTGGAGTGTACAGCGACTAATGGTTTTGGTGGCCGTTCGCCATTGAACACTTTGATCCAAAAACCTGAGTAGTCTCTACGACTCTCACCAGCCAACCAAGTCAGCTTACTGCTTAGCTCATCACCCTGTACGTCTTTGAATATCTTGACTGTAAGACAATATAGCCAATCAGATGTCAGTAACTGAACTAAACGTTATAACCAATGAGATCTCAGTAACTACAGCCGTTATAGCCAATCAGATTTCAGTAACTATAGACGTTATAGCCAATCAGATCTCAGTAACTATAGACGTTATAGGCAGCCAATCAAATCTCACTAACTACAGACGTTATAGCCAAAGTAACTGAACTAAACGTTATAGCAAATCAGATCTCAGTAACTACAGACGTTATAGCAATTCAGATCTCAGTAAGTACAGACGTTATAGCCAATCAAACTGAACTAAACGTTATAGCAAATCAGATCTCAGTAACTACAGACGTTATAGCAATTCAGATCTCAGTAAGTACAGACGTTATAGCCAATCAGTAACAATCAGCCGAGTTGTGAAAAATGTGCCAAAGTCTTTTTCTCTTTTATGGCATTTTCTTTGTATTTTTCGGTATAAACTATTCTTGATTGTAATTAAAATAAAAACAGGAATGTAAATGGTCTCGATATGATTACATTAAATGGAGACAAAGTAATCGATTTTCCTTTGAAAACATTTGACACTTTACTTAGTCAACTTATCTTAACAAAGGCAACTTTCAATGCCCCACAAATCATGAATTAAAAAGATGAAATACGTTGAGTATTTTACGTACGAGTTTTTGGCAGCATCTGYCTCTCAGCATTAAAGATCTTCTTAAGTGTGTTGGTGTCTGGCATGTCAATAATTCTGGATATGGGCTTTTCTTCTTGTTGATTTTGATAAACCTGAATAACAAATAATAAAGTRCTATCATATACACTGMAATGTTTGCCYTGYCTCGCAACGGCGTTRCAAAGGAATTTACCTCTTCTGGTTGCCGGACAACAACCACTTTATCCATATCATTTTTCTTGTTCGTTTGAACAAAGTACAAAACACGTCCATAAATAAATGGTTTGGTGTCTAGTTTGACGATRTCTCCCTGGCTGTAGACTTGTTCTCCATTACTAGTAATCACTCTAATGCTCTTATAAAACATATCACCCCCCACCCCACGGGGCTGACTTGGTAGCAGATCTTCAAAACTCACCTAAAAAATAATTTAAAATGTTAACGTGACAATATAGAAAAACATTTTTCTTTCATCAATTTATACTTGCGCAACACGTTTTTGGGGAAATGCACGGTGTAGCTGGAGTTGTTTTGTTTTCTGTTGTTATTTATCATCCTTATCATCATCATCATCGTTTCTTTTTTTGCACAAAAGAATGATTCAAGAATAATTTGCAAGGCAAAAGCAGTGTGCATCACCCACCAATTTATACTTGCGCAACAAGTTTTTTTGGGAAATGCACGGTGTAGCTGGAGTGTTTTTTGTTGTTGTTGTTGTTTTTGTTGTTGTTTTTCTTTTTTTTTTTTTGCTGTTATTTATCATCATCATCATCGTTATTTTTGCGCAAAAGAATGACTCAAGAATGATCTGCAACGCAAATGCAGTGTGCATCACCCCTCAAGAAACKTTCCTTGCAATTCTTTACACACATTTGCGCAGCAGGTCTCGCACATGAATATTTATAATGTAAATCATCATTTGTCACCAACATTTGACAGTACTAACTACTATAACAAAGACAACGATGTATTAAGTAACGTACTTCTTTGTCCAATTCTCTGTGACATTTCTCAAGCCATGAACGAAACTCCTGTGGAAGTCTACGTTCAGCAGTAGCATCTTCTAAAGCACTTGAAAGGTCTTTCCGTTCATCCAGCAGTATTTTGAGYTTATTGTTCGATATTGGTGTGTGACGATTGAAGAACAGGATTCCTTTTAATCGTCTGTAGCATATATCAGGAAGTATATCTTTTTGTTTCTTGGTACGCTGACCAGCAGGTGTACAGAATGATAGTCTGCAAGTACAATGTTGAACATCATGGCAATGAAAGAGCTACATTATAGCTATCATAGTACGCGCTCTCTGAKTGGTCAAATGTTATTGTTTCACCGGTAAAGCACGGATGCGAATATGGATTGCGTAGTTTATTTCACCAGGAGCGCACGGAAATGTGTTGTTTATTGCTTAAGGAAACATCATCGCCTAATGACCAAGTCATCAGATTTTGGGTTCACATTCCCATTGTGGTGGGTTGGGCCATCACGTTGTCTTCTTATTGAAGAAGACASTTAACTCCCTCTCTCTACCAGCTTTATAAAAGTGTAATAGTAAGGACCGGTTAAGAAGGAATAGAATTAGTGTTCACTCTCAATAATGAAAGAGGAGTTGTTCTCTTCGTCATTGTGTTTCAAACATTCCTTTTGCTTGACCTATGCTTTAATACTCTAATGATATACGGTATAGACGATAATGATGATGCTATAATCAACAAACCTATGGACATAGGAAAGAGGAGCAAGCCGTCCTTGCCAAAAACACTCAAACACTGGCTCAGCATCGTCATCATCACTATCTCGAGGGATGGTTTCTTGTCCAGCTTCATGTGGATAGTACATGAGAACACCCTGMAATAAACACTTGTTGTAAGAAAACAAACTCCAGCTAGTTCTTAACAAGAGAAGTTCGATAGGAAAAGGTGTACAATAAGATTTTAAAGACATTCAGCTTTAACTGTTTAAGACTTATAAGAATTGTATTACAATGTTGTTGGTACAGTTTATTAGGTGTATGTCAATTGGTCATTCCGAAACTCACAAACTCRAGGTAGTTTGAAGCAATCGAGAAATGGATCCCATGATCGAGGAACAGTGTAGTTTAGTGTGTTTCATGAGAGTGTATGGAATAGCCGATTTGCGAATTTCGCCTTAGTTGTCAAACACAAAAGAATCAAGACGAGGCGCCGTGCATAAAGCTCAGTCAATTGTGAAAGACTATATTGTCTTTTCGATATAGTTGAGAATTTTCATGCTCGTTCCCAGCCTCCTATTGAATTTAGCATGCTTTCTTTTTCTGGTGAATAATTTCTTATGAGGCTAAACGGGGGTTTATCAGTCAACATGGCGGCTTAGTACTAACCTGTACAGTCTGTGGCAAGTTGAGGCCTGGAACTTTTAAAGTAAGAGCAAATGGAAACCAATCCTTGGCAAAGGTCTGGTACCTAGTCTCTGGATCATCAGTGATTTCACGTAAGTTGATACTATCTGTTGAATTACGACCACCAGTTATGGACACTTGTAAGTCAACCTTCTGAAAGTTTCCCAAGTCCATCTATGAAAAACATATCAACCAATCAGATTAGTCCTTGCAAGATATATCAACCAATCAGATTAGTCCTTGCATGACATATCAATCAATCAGATTAGTCCTTGCAAGACATATCAACCAATCAGATTAGTCCTTGCATGACATATCAACCAATCAGATTAGTCCTTGCATGACTTATCAATCAATCAGATTAGTCCTTGCATGATATATCAACCAATCAGATTAGGTCTTTCAATTATCAACCAATCAGATAAGTCCTTGCAGACATATCAACCAATCAGTCGAGATTAGTTCAAAATTTGAAGACCTATTTGGTCCTAAATATTGACCTAGAATAAGTTTATCAGTAAAGAAGGATGTAAAAAAGTGTGTGAATACACYTCAGACTGTTAAAAATGTCAAGTCAATTCACAGGGCGCCCAGGCTCAACAGTTGTGTTGCTTTCACGTTGGTGTCAAAGTATTGGGCCCCCTGTGGTCAATTTATGTGTGCCACATGTACTACTTACTGCTAATCTAGAGGGTGAAGCCAGTCGCATGTTTCCAGAACACCCCTGGTCCCCCCACAGATAGAAGTGATAGACATGAGCAAGACTACGTGTTAACAGATGACCTGAATCCTGTCTCATGTAGTCAATGTGACTTTCTTTAAGTCCTGTGATCACTACACATGTAAACTGTTTATACTTGCATTCATTTTCAATCTGGGAAAATAGAAAAATGGAAACATGAAAAAAAATGACCAACTGACTACGCATAATTATTAGTCTTCTTTACAGTTCCCTGTACCATGTGTCATTGCATTAAAGCAAGGCAACCGTTAAGTGTGAACTGAGAGATATCTGATGTATATAATTGTCCATAGGAATGAAACAAGGTTTCTAATGAGTATCAGTGAACAGGAACCGGGTGTCTTGTTTCCAGGAGAAGCTGCAGGGAACTGTGACAGAGACAATTGAAGATCAGGATATGGGGAAACAATAGACAATCCTCTTGTTTTTTTTCTGGGACCTCAACCTCAGTTCTCTTGACCACTTAACCTTATTGAAAGCACTGGTGGATCCAGCACTAGTTCACTAATTTGCATCATAAAACAAAATCATGGTTCATTTTCATGAATTTGTTTTGTGATGCAAATCGGTGAGCTAGTGCTGGATCCACCAGTGGAAAGTGGGCTATAACAGATAATACTGCTCCAAACATTGTAAAAGCAATAAATTGCTTTTACAATGATGTGACTCCGGTAGTGAAATGAAGAGTAAAATATATACCAGTTCTTTCAGGCATTTCCGTTCTTCAGGTGTCTCTAATGTACTCAAATCTCCAGGATTTCTGATACATCGATAGTCTTCAAACACAGGCTTTCCCTCATCTGCTCTTTTGTGAAGTTTTTCCTGAAAAATTATAGTCAGTGATGACGTTGTGTAAATTACATTCCAGAAGTGTTTATTGTACATGCCAGCATTAATCAATATTTGTGAACTGGAATGAAAATGTCTAGTGTCACTAAAGTCTAGACAGCTTTCATTTTACCTGTGCAAGCATATGAAAGGTGTTTAATCATGACAAATGAAGCAAGCGTAGGGATACAAGACTAGTGAGCATTTCTCTTTCTTCTTAAAGTGCTCTCCAACTCTCACCGTGCTAACAATCATAGTATCAGAGAGTAGAGGCACAAGTGCTAATTTTATGATTTTTAAATAAAGTTCTTCTAACTGTTTTTAAATGGAATAGAACTTAACAGAACGTCATCAGCCAATGAAGGCATGTATTCCAGGTTAAAGTAAAATGTTATGAGATGTAGAAGATAGATAAGACCTTACTTGACACAAGATCTATGGCTGAGAAAATAAAAGCAAAGATGATAAATGTCTTACTTTGGAAATTGTAATTTCTGTCACATAAGGGCAGTCGTCTCGTTTTGTTACAACTTTGATTCTGTCGCCAAGATAAAAACCCTGAAATAACCAGTAATATAGACATTAAGTATAATATTAAATATAGACATTATTAAGTGTAATATTAAATAATCGTGCAACAAGCCTGTCACAGTCGCTGACCAGTGCACTGGTCACAAAGTACTTAAACAACGTCACAAAGACCCGCATCTGTGTAATTGAACTTAGATGACACCAGCATCTTTCAAACTTGGGCTAATAATGTTTTTTTTTAAATGTAAGGCCTTTGAGCCTTGTTTGCATAATTAATTGCCCCATATTAACAGTTCCGACCTCCTGCCAGTGGCGGATCCAGGGGGGTTCCATGGATTCCTAGGAACCCCCCTCGAGCATTAAGAATAAATAAAAATGATAAATGAAATATGGGTGTCTTTGATTTGCTACAGTTCGAGATCAAGGCACAGTGAAAAAGTTCAGTTTAGGAAAATGCGAAAACAAAATGGAACCCCCCTGGATCCGCCACTGCCTGCCATTTTGAATGTCAAGTATAAAATGAAAAACCAAAGTCCAACTTACAGCTTGAGTGGCACCAACGCCAAATTTTGAAATAAAGCCATCAAGATAAGCAGGTATTTGGTCCAACTCTGACCTCTCCAGCCCTCTGTCAGCTTGTGACAAGAAATAGGTAGCAAAGGCCTTTAAGCCATCATATGTCATTCCTTCACCATTATCAAATACAGCTGCAAGTTTCTGTATCAACACCAATTATGAATGTTATCAACAGATTAATGTTTATTTATTTCTCTCATTATTATTCACATGCAAGAGAGATAAAATAATTAATAGATATTGTAAGATATTTCTAATCATGGTGGAATACATGTATGCAGTGCAAGTCACCATACAAAAGATACTTTCTCAAATTAGTTGACAAGTTTTTTTGAACTTGACAAGTTTCTCTTTTTTTTTTTCTTGAAATCTCTCTTGATTAGTAGTTTTCTAACATTAGTCTAACATTATGGTTTTACAGGGTAAAATGCACAGCAAGCATCAGGCTAAATCAAGCGCATAGGATTATGGTTTTAATGCTTGAGATCCCGTATGATTCAAGTACAGTTAGTTTTTAAGAAGAGCAATTAYTATTTTTTCCTTACCTCTTTTAAAAATATATGAAGATCTATTGTTCTTGGTAAGTTTTTTTCATGGTTTGTAGCTGTTGCTTGGATACTGTTATCAACAAACTCACAGAATGCTTGATAACCAGCTAGAATACACAATAAAGGGTGCACATTTTATTTAATATTTATCAGTACAATGAGTCTTTGAGGGTGGTCATAGCTAGGGTTTGTTGCATCTTCAGACTGAAGTTCTTTTACATCTCCCAGGGTTAGTGAGAGAAGTGTGGGGACGACCTATGGTTTATAGTGATCATGTACAAGAAAATATTTTGCTAGGTGGAGAAACAAAACGGCAAACAGCAAGGGCAACCCTGGTGCCAATCCTAAACAGGATCCTGTAGGATGTTATTTAGAAATGGGATCCAGGATCTTAACTAGGATCCGGAGCAGGATGCTGCCAAGAAATAGGATCTTACACAGGATTCTGACAAGATCCTGGTTAGGATCGCTACGATCATGTAGGGCCCTAGCCAGGATTTGCACCAGGGAACAGCAAAGCAACCCTCAGAAACTCAACCTCCTACATACAACCAGTGCTCATTTTGGTCAGGAAATTCTTCAGGGAGCCAACCAAAATGCAGGTGCTGTCTACAAAAGCCTATGAGGTGGATCTGCCCATGCCTACAAACCTTTGCATCAAAGCAAGACAGGAGTTGAGCTTGCAATGATAGATACCTGTAAACAGTTGTCTTAACTATTACAAAAGTTATCATCGCAAGCTCCTCTCTTTACCATAAATGGTTGGCTACATTTCAAGATGGCGCTTGGAAGTGCAAAATGGAGTATTAAATAAAATACAAGAGTTATCTGCTGCTCCTTACTTACAGCTAAAGTGATAATTCCCACTCTGTGTCAAAGCATTTGGATGTACATCATAACGCAGTAACTCATAGCGAGGTTTGTCAAGTTTACAAGCTTCTTTATTTGAACTACGAACCTAGAAATCATTGAATAATCATGACAGTTAATTACAAACAATTATTTCAGTAAAATTATTATTTCATCTAAAAAATGAAAAGTAAATGAATGAATGAATGAYAGATACATGTAAGTAAATGAGAAAATGAATAAATAAACAGATGGATGAACACTCACCATACACCATGTTTCTAGTCTACTTTGCTTGATCTCTTCAAAACTTTCATCAGTGACTTCAACAAAATCACTGTCAGAAATACTAAAATCCTGCCAGGCAAAATAGAGATTTGTGAGTTGTGAGATTTTCTTACAAACTACAGTACATTAATCATACTAACTGGCATTGAASCAGGAACAGTTTTTGTCCATAACCACAGTGCCTTAATATAATTAAAATAAAATATAATTTATATACAAGGATAACTTACATTGGGTAAAAATGGGAATTCCAGGTGGACTTTTTTCCTAAATTCATGATAACTACATTGCTTTGATACTTGTATTGATTTATCTGTGTCATTACATGATAGTAAAACCTTCACGACGGATTCCATCATCTACAATAGAAAATACATTAGTCAGAAAAGTGCTGTGGTAAGTATGGTGAGAAAGCATGGCAATGGGATCAAATCTAAACTATGGATGGATACATATCACTTCACACAACTGTTCATATCAAGTGAAAAGAAGCACCTAACAAGTGAATACMCACCCTTCCTTTTTTTACTAAATATGTTTCACTTTTCTATTTTTAAGCATTTATTAAACATTTTATCATCAAATTTGAACTTAGAATTATGAATTCACTATTTTATAGCCTGACCTGTCCATTTTAGCTGCTTCTATTCACTTGTTAAGGGACAACTATACACTTGTTAGTTGTACCATATAAGGAATACCTATGACAAACCTCTGTACTCTCTCCTGCCCCACAGCTGGTTATAGCTGGTAGATTGAGAAAAATGGCTATAACCAGTCATTTAACATTAAATTGGTGTACTGTAAACCAATATACACAAAAAAATCACAGGAGTATTATATTAATTTTGTTTTTGTTTTAGTCTCTCAGGCCCACTTCATGTAACATTCATCACAAAAACAGTCAAAGAAAAAATAATAATAATAACAAAAAATAATAAATAAAATAAAAAAAATTCAGAAAAAACGTTTCAAACCGAATGAATGTATTATTTAAGACACTCAAAAAAAACAAATAAATTATAAACAAATATAGCAAAGTGTTCAAGGCTCACAAGGCATCGAGGCGTCCTGTTTTAACTATGGCGGAAATAAAGCTTTTAATATCAAACCCGGACAACAGACCACAAACAAACAAAAATAATAGATATTTACAATACATGGCTGTTTAAATGAATATTGTTGCATATTAAACATGTAGCGATTACAATATCCCTGCTCATAAAATAGATAAGCTACAGCAATCTACTTATTTTTAGCCGTACTGTATAGAGGAAATTCGCGCCCTTGTCCTAACGGTGCTCTAAGAACCTGATAAGATCTCCTGATAGAATCGTTAAATCGAACTTAACTTAACATTAATATGCAATTTTACTCTCAAAGTAAAACGTGAATGACAAGCTAGAACGACTTTTAGCAGAGCAAGGTGTTTAATAAGCATTTTATTGAGAGATCAAGGGGAAGTACACAAACACAATAAAAAAATCGTGCAAACAGAATGTAACACACCAAAAATACTGTAGTCTTCAAGAAGAAATCTGTATCCGAAATCCATATATTTACAAGTTGGACATGAGCTCCAAATGTTTACTTTGATAAAATAAAATAATAGTCCTAACTTTCACCTGTAGATTCACTAAACATCTTTGTTTTGCGTTAGCCAGTCACAGTTCGACAGATGTCCAGACCCAACACGGGACAAGTAAAACTATACATTTTGCATCAGAAAATCATTTTAAACTACCGTTTTTTCATGAGCTTTGAACCAATCAATAGAATACTCTTGCGTCCAACCTATCCAGCTTTGCATTTGTTTTAGTCGCTTTTTAAATTCAGGTTTTTAGCGCTCAAAGTTGCATGACAATTGGTGTAGTTTGTCAAATGCACGAAAACACGCGCACATATCGACCTATGTTTTCTCTCATACTTCTTCAAGTTGGTTTTGTTGTGAGTTAATTGACAACTAAAAGATACAAAGATTACCTGTTAATCGTACACGATTGCTTGCGGCTCCGGTGATAAATTAAACACACGATGATCCGGAACTTGTCACAGCGACTTGATGATTCATCACCTTCGTTTTGATGGCCGCTGAGGATTGGGGCGGAGTATGAGCGAACATCCGGAACAAGCTAATCGGGAGAAAATCGTCCAAGTACAGCAAATTGTCGCGTTGTCCAGCACGTTAAGGTTAACTTTGTTTTGAGATGAAGTAGTTCTTCTGAAGGGATGAAGAATTAAGGGGATTCAATCGCACGCAATGACGTCACACTTGTTTTTGCCATGCTCCGTGCACTCATGAATGCCGTATCGCTGTATCAATGTTGCTTGTTAATTTACTGTGTGACATTAGTCTATTGGCTGGCGTAGTACGGTGCGGTTTTATAATCTTTTGACCCAAAGAAAAAAAAAGAGCAAAAAGCCAAAAAAAGATGGTTCCTGCCAAAAGGCAACAGGCTGCTACTCTACGGCCTTGGTGGCATGTCGTCACCAAGTCAGCGGTATAACTATATGACCAATGACGTTTTGCTAGCCTAAGTCACGTAACATCGCTAAAAACTGCAGTACCGGTCCAATAGATATTGAACGAAATAAAAGAGGCATGTGTTTTGCTAATTGATGGGAAATAATAACTCTGTCGTTCACTACATTTAGTCTCACCCGCCATTTTCACGCAAAGTGATTGAATTCGCATGTCATACAGGAACCATAGTCCCTTTCGGCAATCTACAACAAGCGCTGTTGTCATTCTCCCCGACAGACTCAAAAACGTTTTTTGAAATAAGTGTATTCTGAAACTCAGTCATAATAGTCTTTTTTTAATATTTTTATACATTTTTTAAATCAAAAGATAAAGAAACATGTTTGTGCCTTCGGTGATTACTGCACGCGGTTCATGCCAAAAAATATTGTACACAGATCAGTGTCCAAATCAGTTGCGAGAAGAGTTGAGATTTTTGTATTGCTCTAACTACTGCGACTAGTATTTATCATATAATTATCTATGGAATACCTATATTATTTTTCCATTTCATTAAGTTGATATTTTTACTAGTGAAAATAACACATTCGAGGTGTGAAAGTACTAAAATAGGTATTTTACGATATAATTTGCTTTCATTTTTAATTATATAATACCCCGTGAACGAGTGAGAGATCTTTTCAACACTCGAAAGTAAAATCCGTATCTCCGCGCGCCCATGTAACATCCTCTACATCTACGAAAGTTTGCGCTAATCAGTATCCCATAGTCTCTCAGTAAAAGGTTTTTCATATCTGACAGGTAAAACTGTTTGCCAGAAAATCTTTTTAATTTCCCTGCGATCCCTCTATAGTACTTTTATAGAAGTGTGGAATAAAGAACTATGCGAATATCAAAATAAGGAACAAATTGGATAATATCCTCAATAAAGATTATTATTATTATTATTAATAGAGTCTAAGTGTGACGTGTCCTCTTACACATTATCAAAAACCTCATGTGCATGAAATACATATGCTAATGAACCAGATGTGAACAAATTATTMGTCTATTGCCCATCCTATGAGCACGACAAATCACTCTGGTAACCGGAAATAGTCTGAGAGACTAATTACTTCTCTTCCCCTCCCTACAACGTATTGCAGCTGATCATGCACATCGCAGGCACGGGTCATTACAATCATAACAGCAAAACATCACGTCCCCTCGCTGGTAGATCATCAAAGTGTATCAGTACAAGGACTCACAGTGTATATTCTCTATTGATCGTTTACATAAATACTAACTGGACACTCAAAGACACAGAATTACACACGGTTTCCTGGTAAGGGTAGTGATGTTGAGACTAGTCAAAGTTCACCGTATTTGTAAAGTATAATGTGAACGATGTTTTACATCTAAAAGATCAATAATAGTGTATGCTTTAATTATTGTAGTTTGATCAAGTTAAAACTACAGCTTTCTAGTAAGTTATTACGGCGCTGTTCTATCATTTGTGTTACTGAATATAATCATCAGGGGTTAGGTATGCTGAAGCATATTAGCTGTAATGTAATAATTGAAATAGTCCACGTGAAATTATACTAATTTCCTTTTGTAATGCTAATATTTTATCGCTGTTTTCAAAGCAATATAAGTCCAGTTAGTCTAGTTCGCTCTATAAATCAGAATAAATCACTCTGTAGGTACAGCGCCACTTGTTTACAGTTCGATGAATTCCCCTGACTGAAGGAATACGTTTACTTTTACTTTTGGCGTCTGGAGTTTTTTCCCAAACAAAGGTCTGTGACGTGTGGTTCAGTTTGGTCAGCCGCGCGTCAACCATAAGACAAGACGAGATACATGATAAATGAAAATAATTTGCTGTTCTTTGAATCCAATGAGGTTTATCGAGCAAAGTTAGTGCAGTTTATTATGGTAAAATAGTTGTAATGTGTCTCAGTCAAAAATATTTCCCGCCACTTAAAGCTATTAACGTTTTTTTAATTCTTTTTGATAACGTTTTTTTCCCTCTAATTATACATATGAATGTTTTTAAAACAAATGGACAAAAACAGACAAAACCAGGCATTTTACACCAAAAGAGCATCCACCATGTTACAAATATTATAGCTAGAGGGACATGTATGACATCAGAACTGTCTCTACACCCGCGGTCTGTACTGATAGCCAAAGTACTTCGATTTGCACGTATTTATTTTGCTAAGATAACGAAGAATAAATATTCTCGTAATGATYACAGGTGAGGTAACCTTTAGTATTRACTTTCGTAACTGGGGAATTCAGTCAGTTTCAACCTCAATGGTTTCGGAAATCAGATTGGTTCTTTAGTACTCCACCAATCATCTATTTCACTTGAAACACAACCTTTTCAAGAAGCGTTTTAATCGACTATTACAGAAACTATCACTTTCATAAAAGCTTTCATCCGTGAAAAACAAAACAAAGTGGATATTATTATTCAAAGTACTTGYCAATCTATTCATTAAAAACAAAACTTTGACAGTTTTTGATGCCTCTCACAAAAAAAGATAGTTTATGGTAAACTCAAAAACGAGAACTAATCGTTAGGGAAATGTTGATCACTTCGCGAGTTGTCTATGCTTTTATATGCCTTTTTATCAGTATCTCGCCATTACTGACATTACGACATTACTGAAAATGAAATAGAGATTGAGATGCAATGGAAGAAAGATAGGAAGGAAGGCTGAAATTTGATTTTGACTGAAAACGAAAAGAAAAAACAAATATGGAATTGAAAGGGAAGAGGAATTGAAATAGTGAAATAAAACAATAAAATGTTASGGAAAAGGTTAGCAAAGAAAGATGTCAAAAATCAGATCAAATCAGGAGGAAAATGACGAAATGTCAAAATATAAGAGAACAACACGTTATGRGGATCAGGAAATAGCTTGGCAACACAAACGAGACATCGTCTCAAATTACTGTAATACATTGTATGATATTAGTCACAACAGGTCTTATGTAACACACCCCCTTTTATTGTTTGGCTGCCCTAGTCCCACCATAATACAGTAAAGCCAGTATATAAACACTGATGTTAAAACACGCTAACGGCAGTACTTCTACTATTGCAGAAAGACATCAAAGACATCTTCGTCTTGCTGAGTCCTGTAGCACTCTTAATATGGCGTCTTGTGACCTCGATAAGGAYRAYCACTACCAAATGAACAATGTAAACACGAATCATGGCGTTCAGGAAGACAGTGATAATGAAACAGATCGACGACAACAGATACTTAAAAAGAAACGAAGTAAACTAAGAAGAGTCCTTTCAAAGTACAAAATCAAGAAACCACGTTTAGTAAGTAAGCATGGCGGTCTTAAAGTCGTCGCTACTGAGGTCCAATCGAAACAGAGYATGTAYGTATCGGACTTATTTACGACCATGATCGATGCCAAGTGGCATTGGATATTGATCATCTTTGTTACAGCGTACATAGGAAGTTGGCTGATATTTGGTTGTCTGTGGTATCTACTAGACTATGTTTATGGTGCAAGTTACTGTGTCGACAATGTGCATTCATTTGTTACAGCGTTTTTATTTTCATTGGAGTCACAGACGACGATTGGTTATGGTGGAAGGCAAATCACAGCTAAATGTCCCGAAGCTGTCATTCTATTGAACATCCAGTCTTTATTTGGGTGTTTTCTTAACGCGTTTATTCTGGGTTTAATATTTGCTAAGCTTTCTCGTCCACGTAATCGTGCAGGTACAATCATGTTCTCTAGTAAGGCAGTCATTGCAGTCAGGGATGGCAAAATGTGTTTAATGTTTCGTGTTGGTGACGTCCGAAAAAGTCAAATTCTAGACTGTCAAATACGCGTTCAGTTGTTCAGAACTCGCACAACTAAAGAAGGTCTTACTCTACCTTTTTATCAGCAAGATTTGAAAGTTGGAATTGACTGGAATGACGAACAGTCATATGGAAACAGTACAATTTTTCTCATACTACCCCTGACGGTAGTTCACGTGATTGACGAAGAGAGTCCATTTTTCACGATGAGCCCCTCAGACCTGTCAGAGAGCGATCTTGAGTTGGTAGCTATTATGGAAGGAACTATTGAAGCTACTGGCCTCTTAACCCAGGCTAAAACATCTTATGTTGGTGATGAAATTATGTGGGGTTTTGAGTTCAAAACCACAGTTGACAGATCGAGTTGGAAAGGTGGACGATATCGTGTGGATTTCTCTCAGTTTCATAATTTTATTCCTGTAGACACACCACGTGTTTCCGCAATGGAATTCTACGAAGGCAAACTCTACCCACACTCACACAGGGCTTCAGTAGTAACYTCGCAATCAAGCGATGAAGTTTTTTCAGTGAATTTAGAGAGAGAAGAAGTCGCAGTGCAGACCGATTACAATTCTGCTGATGAAGTGATCAGAAACTGGGAAATACGCAATCGTAAAGCAACGTCAGTCAAGGACAACGGACCSTTACAGTTCGCTGAAAACCCGGGTTACGTTAATGTTGACGATGATGATGTTTTGTTTGTGTAATTTGTTGCTTTCGGGATTGGATCTCTGTCATCACTACTTAGTGCGATGACCTGGGGATCTGATCTAAACGCAGGGATCCCAAGCGTGCATTGACMCCGGCAAAATTTCTGACTGACGACACTGTCAAAAACAGGCGTCTTGCGTCATCAAGGGCACATCAAGCTATCTCCCCTAAATCGAGAATGTTGTCAAAATAAACTTTAGACAGAACGGAAAAAGAACATCTGATATTGTAACTCAACGCCGCCCGACGATACATAGCCGGTAAACTTTCAGCCGTGAAATAGCCTGCGTAGTCAGGAGTTCTTAGCCGCTCCGAGGGAGTTTGGGGCACAGAAACAGAAACCAGGTTAGGATTTTCTGGACCTGAAAATGTGAAAGCCGTGAAATTTTTGTATTTTGTTTTGATAAGTATTATGACATATATCTTTTGATACACAACTTATCTAAAGCGCAGAATTCCTTTTTAGAGAGAAGATTTGACAATCGATAATGGAGCAATTAGGGAAAAGCAATCATTGAGACAAATAACCACGATGGGGCAGGCTTTAGTATTTTATGACTTTTATTTGATTTCACTCCATACATCAAGACATCCAAAATCCAATACATCGCATAATACAAATCATTTAGTTAGGTTTCTTCGGGTTTCAAATGAACAGAAAAAATAACAAATTGCTTAACCTCAAATAAATGGACTGAGCTGTGCCAGCTTTGATAGGCGATTTTTGACTTTTTTAGGTAGTTACTTGGTATTAATACTAGCCGTGTAAATAATAGTCTTTTTCTAAAAGAAATAATAAATTATGATTCACAAGGATAGCGCGCATATGAGTTGGT